CGTATATTTAGGTTTTTATTAAATTGAGTTTTTATGAGACTTTTTTATGAGGAAGATTTGCAGCGAATTTGTTTTCTATAAATTACTGCTTTATATTTTTATTATTTCTAATTTAAAACTAGATTTCCAGTCAAAATGCTTTAAATAAACATAAAGTAGTTATAAATTTTAATTATATTTAAATTATGTTAAAGTTTACGTTTTCTCTCATAAAGAAGAGCAAAACAATTAAAAACATTTTGATATAATTTTTTTATTCGTTTAACAACTTATCAAGAATTTGGGATTTTGTTTAAATGAGATGTAAATTTATAAATAGCATTGCATTGAGGGTTATCTTTAAAAATCAATACAAAATATTTGTTATATTTTGTCAAAATATTTCTAAAATAACCAGAATTTTAGTGATTGCGGCCTTCAATTAGATTTACGGCTCTCTCTCTCTCTCTCTCTCTCTCTCTCTCCTCTCACTCACTCATCAATACTTTTCTCTCACATATTACTATCAAATAAATCATTTCATTCGTAAACCTTATTAACGAAAATATACAAAAATCTTGAAATATCTCGATATTGAGTATACAGTATTTGCGAGTAATAAATACAATGCAGTATAGAATTGAATGGTGTGACCACATATGCAATCAAATACTTCACACATGAAACCCAAAACAATTACCCGGTATAATATAATTGGATTTTAATCTCATAGAAAGTATTTGCTAAATGTTAATTAAATGAATCGTTTGATTCAATAACGTATACTTGAATTAAATCGACAAATACTTTGAGGACTTCAGACGCCAAATACATTTGCGTCAAAAATATCGGTTAAAAAAGTTATTTTCGTCATATTTTATCCCCGAAATTATGTAATGAAAAAACTAAGTTTATAAATATATTTATAAATTTAACATATTTTTAATGTTTAATTTATGATCACAATTGTTCACTACATTCCGCTCTCACTCTGTACTATAGTTTCTAATGAAATTCACTGCAAGTGTAGTGTCTTTTTTGGGCTTAATTTCATTAATCTTTAATTTATAGTCTTTTTCACTTATAAATGGCTTTTTCTGTATTTGACACTCGAATGCATTAAATTTTAATTCCACACAATTATTGCTGCACTTTATATAAGCAAATGGTTTGCATTCATGTTAATTAGATTCTCATGACTTTCATAAACAATTTATTTAAACCTATAAATAAACGCTAATTTATTACACGATTTTCTATTCACTAAATACTGTTCACATTAAACATTGATTTAATTTAATTTATTTATTGTTTAAATTATTTGCTTCAATAGTGTTGTATTGATGACAGCGAAGAGATGATGAAATTGTTGATAGACTTCGGCGCTAATGTAAATGCAAAGGATAGCGAACAGTGGACACCATTGCACGCAGCGGCCACTTGTGGTCATTTGCATCTAGTTAAATATCTAATTAACAAGTATTGCGTTCATTTAACCTAAGAATTATGTGTTAATTATTTTTCATCAATGTTTTTGTTTCCAAAGAGGGGCTGATTTACTGGCAGTCAATGCGGACGGGAATATGCCTTACGATATATGTGAGGACGAGCTCACACTCGACTACATTGAGTCAGAAATGGCCAAAAGGGGTATAACGCAGGAAATGATAGACAAAACCCGAGCCACAAATGAAATGCAAATGTTAGACGATCTCCAGAAGTTGGTCGCCGCCGGAACTGACCTCGAGTCCAGGGACGGTCAGGGCGCCACACCTGTGAGACCATTCATTCACTTGATTTACCTAGAATTCACTTAATAACGATTGATTGGTTTTGCTCTTGGGATCAGTTGCACATCGCTTCAGCCAATGGTTACACAACTGTTGTGGAATTCCTATTAGACAATCACGTGTCCACAGATGAGTGTGATCTCGACCAGTGGCAGGTATGACACCAAGTGATCCATTTATCAATTAAAACAATGATTTTAATTGATTTTTTTGTTTGATTCGTAGGCAATACACGCGGCCGCCTGTTGGGGACACGTATGTCATAAACTATAAAATACATGTATAAATACTTAGTTTCATTGTCCATCTGTCCAACAGCTCGATGTTCTCGAATTGTTAGTCCAAAACGGAGCCGATGTTAACGCAAAGACAAAGAATGGCGAAACGCCTTATGATATATGCGAAGATCCGGAACTAAAAGAACGGATCATTCAATTAAAGAATGAATTGGAGACGAAGAAGGCTACGCATCCAAACCGACTGAAGAGGTCTCTGAGTCAGAACACAAGGAGTCAATCGGTCCGCAGAACCAGTATTAGAGAGAAGTCCCAAATCGCCAAAAGGGAGGCCCGAGAAGAGGCCCGCATTCGACACCAAAAAGAGAGCGAAGTCGACGACGACGACACTCCACAGACATCAGATGCCAAAGACGACGACACCACTGATTCATCGCCGGCGCCGCCGACAGATGCGATGCCATCGCATGTCAACGGTTACGACTCCGGAAATGCCATCGATTTAAATAACATAGATTTTCGCATCGATTCCCGCAAAAAGTCTCTCGACTCTGATTCGGATGTCTCGACGCAAAACACTTCAAATCAAATCCAAACCCAAAGTAATTCCAATAACAAGGAAGCGATTGTCATAAGAAATACTGGTTATACGGATCGCGACAACAAACAAGAGCCAAATGCCAACAACTCTACTGAGAATCAGTCAAATTCTGGAGCGCACAGGGGGTCGACCTCCGAGTCCGTCAAAGTGGAGATTCACGTGACGGTCAACACAACGCCGACATTCAATTCGGGCACTTTGGCTGACCTCAAGAAACACAGGGCGGAGAAACATCGCAACAGTTTATCGCATTCTTCGTCATCGGATTCAACGGTGAATCCTGTAGTGAATCGTAATTCCATAACAAATGTGCCGACGAATACATTCAACACCAGTTCCCATTCAATTAGTGCTAAATATCCGTACGAAAGCCCGCCCTCGCCCTCCGCAGGCATTAAGAAATATAAAGGAAATCCAAGTGATATCGTCGGCGACTCCCGAAAGAAAGGCTGTTTTGGTTGTCATATAATGTAAAAGCGTTAAGCCTTTGCTTCCATTGCATTACATTCTCTCCATTTGTTCTTCTTTTGGTTCATTTGATGATCAATTGACTGTTTGTTTGTTTATTTGCTAACATTCCTAACGGACAACACTTAAGAAAACAAAAAAAGTTTAAATAACTTTGTGATAGAGTTATATAATTAGTAGGCATTAAATTATGTTTTCAATTTGTTTTTACTATTTTTTGAAATCTATTCATTTTAATTCAATGCATAGCTTTTATATTCATTTATTTCTCTTTATATAAATATGCAAATCATATGTGAAACAAAAGTCCTGTAAAACACAACTAATTATAGATTTTATATTTGAAAAACAAATTACTTTATTTTATATATAAGTTTTTTTGGAGTTTGGATTTCATCGGAACGTTTCATCGGATGTTTTTCAAGTAACTCTTTGTAATGAATTCATAGGATTTTTTTGCGAAAACACAATTTGTAATCCATTACTCAAATTGTTATTTAATTAATGGTTTTAATTGTTATCTGATTTACAGAATCAAAAATAAAGATAATTCCATTAATAATGAAATTTATTTGTATTATTTATTTTTAAATTTTAGTCAATTTATANGACGAAGAATGCGATAAACTGTTGCGATGTTTCTCCGCCCTGTGTTTCTTGAGGTCAGCCAAAGTGCCCGAATTGAATGTCGGCGTTGTGTTGACCGTCACGTGAATCTCCACTTTGACGGACTCGGAGGTCGACCCCCTGTGCGCTCCAGAATTTGACTGATTCTCAGTAGAGTTGTTGGCATTTGGCTCTTGTTTGTTGTCGCGATCCGTATAACCAGTATTTCTTATGACAATCGCTTCCTTGTTATTGGAATTACTTTGGGTTTGGATTTGATTTGAAGTGTTTTGCGTCGAGACATCCGAATCAGAGTCGAGAGACTTTTTGCGGGAATCGATGCGAAAATCTATGTTATTTAAATCGATGGCATTTCCGGAGTCGTAACCGTTGACATGCGATGGCATCGCATCTGTCGGCGGCGCCGGCGATGAATCAGTGGTGTCGTCGTCTTTGGCATCTGATGTCTGTGGAGTGTCGTCGTCGTCGACTTCGCTCTCTTTTTGGTGTCGAATGCGGGCCTCTTCTCGGGCCTCCCTTTTGGCGATTTGGGACTTCTCTCTAATACTGGTTCTGCGGACCGATTGACTCCTTGTGTTCTGACTCAGAGACCTCTTCAGTCGGTTTGGATGCGTAGCCTTCTTCGTCTCCAATTCATTCTTCAATTGAATGATCCGTTCTTTTAGTTCCGGATCTTCGCATATATCATAAGGCGTTTCGCCATTCTTTGTCTTTGCGTTAACATCGGCTCCGTTTTGGACTAACAATTCGAGAACATCGAGCTGTTGGACAGATGAACAGTGAAACTAAGTATTTATACATGTATTTTATAGTTTATGACATACGTGTCCCCAACAGGCGGCCGCGTGTATTGCCTACGAGTCAAACAAAAAAATCAATTAAAATCATTGCTTTAATTGCTAAATGAATCACTTGGTGTCATACCTGCCACTGGTCGAGATCACACTCATCTGTGGACACGTGATTGTCTAATAGGAATTCCACAACAGTTGTGTAACCATTGGCTGAAGCGATGTGCAACTGATCCCAAGAGCAAAACCAATCGTTATTAAGTGAATGATAGGTAAATCAAGTGAATGAATGGTCTCACAGGTGTGGCGCCCTGACCGTCCCTGGATTCGAGGTCAGTTCCGGCGGCGACCAACTTCTGGAGATCTTCTAACATTTGCATTTCATTTGTGGCTCGGGTTTTGTCTATCATTTCCTGCGTTATACCCCTTTTGGCCATTTCTGACTCAATGTAATCGAGTGTGAGCTCGTCCTCACATATATCGTAAGGCATATTCCCGTCCGCATTGACTGCTAGTAAATCAGCCCCTCTTTCGAAACAAAAACATTAATGAAAAATAATTAACACATAATTATGAGGTTAAATGAAAACAATACTTGTTAATTAGATATTTAACTAGATGCAAATGACCACAAGTGGCCGCTGCGTGCAATGGTGTCCACTGTTCGCTATCCTTTGCATTTACATTAGCGCCGAAGTCTATCAACAATTTCATCATCTCTTCGCTGTCATCAATACAACACTATTGAAGCAAATAATTTAAACAATAAA